TGCTCTTACAGAGGACCCAGGTTCTATTCCTAGTACCCACATGACAGCTAACAACCATCTGTAACTCCAGTTCCAGGGGACTCAGATGCCCTCTTCTGACCTCCATGGGTGTTGCACGATGTGGGTGCACTTATATACATGTAGACAATACATTCATACACATAAAATTAAAAATAAAATATTTTAAAAAGTCAAACCAAAACAAAACAATAACAACAACAACAAAAAAAACTAATAAACCTAGAAGTCAGGCATGGTAGCTCATGTCTTTAATCTTAGCAGTCAGGAGGCAGGGGCAGGCAGATCTCTGTGAGTTCAAGGCCAGCCTGGTCTACATTGTGAGTTCCAGGACAGCTGGGGCTACAGGGAGAGCCTGTTTCAAAAAACTACCACCACCACCAACAAACTGATAAACTGAAAAACCCCAAAGCCAAACCCAGAGCTGAGGATACAGCTCAGTGGTAGAATGCAAAATAGAAACAAACAAAAAGCCCAAACTGATAGAATATGCAAACCTCAGAAAAACCGTGAGCTTCATTAGAGGACGCCATAAAGGCATAAGAACCATCAGAGTGGCCAAAAGCCTTTAAATTGTGAAAGTACAAAGTTTCCCCAGTGACATAACAGCTATAGATTAAAGACCTGGCTCTGCCCATCCCTTATCAGTTGGTCACTCCCAAGCCTGAGAGGAAATGTTTGTGGAGCCCACCTGTCTCCTCTAAGGTCAGAGATAACATTCCTGCCAGTTCCTGGGTAAATAATCTTGAGAAGGAGACCTTTAACCCAGGGAACTAACTTGACTCCCCACTAAGTGTAGTTGTGTCCCACAACCCTGGTATAAACACCCCCCCCACACCCCTGGTTTGTCTAGTTGTAGAAGCTTGGTTCCTGTGGACAGCCTCTACCTCTCACTGTATCTTCTTTGAATAAAGGAAGGTATAATCCTTGCCTGTTTCAGGACTGGCTCTGGTTTCTTCTCTTCTACTCCTCTATCTTTCCTTTTATTTTCAAAAAATCTAACACAAACACCAAACAAAACAAACAATATAGGTCAAAATCTAAAAACAAAGTGAATGCTTGTCCATAGAGAACTGATTTGTTTACTACATATGTAACATGTCACAGACTAGAATGATTTAAAGTTTTGCCAGTAGAATTGAAGGAATATTCCACAAAGATTATTATAGAAGAAAGCAAACTTTCATAGAAATATCAGTAATTGCATCTTTGTAAAGATACCACGTCAATTCTCAATAGGCGAATACACTTATAAAATGTGGCTTGAGAGGCACATGAAGCCCCACAATACACTGTAGAAGCTGCAGAAGTGGGAAGGGGCTGAGCTGCCTCGGGTGAAAGGCAGTGAATGCACAGACTCATGCTGCCCAAGGTGCTGAGAATTAATGAAGGCTGAAGGCATCAGCTTTTGGTTAGTGACAAAATATCTGAGATAATAAACGTTTAAGGAAGAAAGATTTATTTTGGCTCAATTTCAGAAGTTTCCATTTGTGTTTGTTTGGACTTATGGCACTGAGTCTGTGGTAACAGGGTACATTACAGTGGGAGTGTGTGGTGGAGGTATCCTGTTCCTACTTCCTGGTGACTGGGAAGTAGAGAAAGAAGAAGAGGAGGGACAGGGATCCTAATATCCCTTCAAGAACACACCACCAATGACCTTCTTCCCAATGGGCTCCACCTTCTAAAATTTCTGCCACCTTCCAACAGTGTCAAGGCTGTGGACTCAGCCTTCAACACAGGCCTTTGGGAAAATGTTCAAGATCCGAAGTATAGGAAATGTCCTACTCCTTCCCTTCCTCAGCACGTATATCATCTCGGTTATATAGTGTTGCACACACGTGTAGTTATAGGTACAATAAAAAGGGACAAGGGAAAGATAAAGCTAGAACTATAAACAAAGAGCTGTAGGGATATTCAGGTTATCTTGCCAACTTCAAAGAAGGAAGTTGAAGATAATATGTAACTACTTATTCTTTGTGTACCAATAACAACCCCTACATTCTTCTTATATAGGCAAGAAGAAAGGTATACAGACTAGTCTTTCAGTGACACCCTCAGGGGTGGACTGGCAAGAGAACCAGGGTGAACAATGTAGGGAAAGATGTTTGGTTATTTTAATAAAAAAAACATTAAATTGAAATTTTCTATTCTATTTTATGCAGTCTTCATTTTTATTACAAATGTCAATGTTTACAAATTGAAAGGAGAACTTATTAACAAACAGGGCAGTACTTGTTTGTCCTTGAAGCAAGAAGACAAAGAAGAGAGATAAACATTCACAGAGCCATAATGACAAGAGAAGAAATTTAAAAATTAGCTTGCAAAAATATTCTCTTGGAGAGTCTCAGGAATAAAATGTACTGGAAAAATTCAATGAGTTAAAAAGGATGAGAGGGAGAGAGAACAGCTACAGCTGATGAGGAAGACCCAACAGATGAATAATTGGCACTCACAACACACTACCATAGGCTGGAACAAAGCCATAAGGTGTACAAAGAGAAGGTGTGCAAATGTTTTCCTAAGGTCGACTTCCAAGAAAATTGATATAGATAATAATAAAAAATTAGAAACATCTTGATATTTTTACTTCAGGAGTCAAGAGTCCTCTGGACATTTAACCTCTCCTTTGGTTACTATCAAAAAAGAAAGAAAGAAAGAAAGAAAGAAAGAAAGAAAGAAAGAAAGAAAGAAAGAAGAAAGAAAAAGCAAAAAGCAAAAAGCGAAAGCAGAAACAAATAGCTCCAATCATTTATACATGGATTATTTTGGAAAAATCATTCTTGTTCATGATCAAAATAAACTACTTAATGTATTGTACAACTTGTTTCCCATTGAGTTTCTCCTTTGTGAGTCACTGACTCAGATGCATTGATATTTTCCTTGTACAAGGTCTCTGTATGTTCATAGCAATGGTAATGATCATTTCATTAAAGAGCACTCCACTGACTTCTCTGGACCCAGTCAGCAAGTCTGATGATGTTTTTCTGATCGATGGAAGAATCAATGAAAGGTGTTCCCATCTCCATCAGGATTGATTTTTCTTCATAATTGGTCTTTATGTGGCTTTGACTGAACATTTGTTGTTGTCCAGTCTTATCATTAAGGATAGGACCAAATGTTACACATAAACATGTCTACAAATAGTCTTCCCAATGACAGAGACTTGGATAGCAGGGATCCTTATAGTATATTATATCTGCAAAGTGTTCACTATTCCTTCCCTGTGACAGGATAGTTCATCTATGGTCACTGACATAATGCTTGCCACAGGATTTTCTCTGGCTTATAGAATGCAGCAGAAATGAAGAATGCTACTATCTAGTGGAACTGTTGTCACTCTTGTTTGGAGACAGGGTCCTGCTAGTTTTGAATCCATAATCTTCCTGCCTTGTCTCCTAGTGCTGAGATTGACAAGAGTGTGCCACCAAATCTGGCTCCTAGAAATTTTAAGAGCTATCATGCTGTTCCTACATGTTTTCCTTCTCTAAGACCAGCATGCCCCACACAGGGGCTGCTTTCTTTAGCCAGGGTCCTGGAAATGGGGACAGCATAGATTAAGCCCAAATTCATCAATGTAAAGACTCACAACTGGTCAAAGTGCTGAGAATAAGTGACTGCTGAGTGCTCAGACAAAAATGGGACATCTATGTCAATTTCCTCAAGGCTCAGGGAACATCATGGAAGAGGGGGCAGAAAGAATGTATGAGCCAGAAGATAGGGAGGAGTATTGTGAAATACTGCCTTCTAGACATGGTACAGCTGTTGCATTCATGAATTCACTGTAGCTATGGTTACCTATACAAGAACTGCATAAGATCAAGTCAGCAATATCAGTATGCCAGCAGGCAGCATTAATCAGACTAGAGAGCTATAAAAAGAGGGACGAGGGCATGAATGTGAGGGGGGACATGTTGAGGGTTTCCAGGAGGGAGGGGAGCAGGGAGTGGGAGTTGGGGGTGATCAAGATATGTTGTATGTGGGCTGGAGAGATTGTGCAGCGGTTAAGAGCACTGGCTGCTCTTGCAGAGGACCCAGGTTTGATTTCCAGCACCCACATGGCAGCTAACAACTGCCTGTAACTCCATTTCCAGGGATCTGACTCCCTCTTCTGACCTCTGTGGGCATTGCCCAACATGGGTGTACCTACATATATTCAGGCAATACACATATAAAATAAAAATAATAAAAACGAAATATTAAAACGATACATTGTATGTATGTATGAAATTGTCAGAGTCAAGAATCAAAGACATTCCTTTAAAAATCAACTTAAAAAACATTAAGGCTAAATTGATCATTTCAAACATGTAATATGACTGAAAGAGAGATTTGCAAGCTGTTGAGGTTTGGGGAATTACTGCAGCATAACTTTGCATACGATGACTGATTATAAGTCTCTTAAGTTTACGGGAACGAAATTTTGGTTTTAATATGTGTGTGCTTTTCTAAAGGAATCTTCGTTTATGAAGACTTCTGGAGGATAACAATGAGTGGGTGACTTTGTATTAGCCTTCCTTCATGTGAGATTCAAGTCCAGGAATTCAGGTGAGCTAGAGTGAAGGCAGAATGACCTTGACTGAGATGTGTTCAAAACACATCATTCTGGAATACTTAGAGCATCATAAGAGGGTATAGCTGTGTCATAGCCCAGTTGCTGGGAGACATTATATATACATACACACATATATATTCTTATGAAATGCCTTGAAAGTCAAATGTTAGAAAACGTTATTAGGACTGAGGATTGCATCTCAATCTGGCATATCATCATAGACTTTGAAGTGGAAAGGGTGGGTTGGGGAGGGAAAGGGTGGAGGGAGATATTGTATGTCTGAAGGATTCATGCCAGTTTTTCTTTCTTTCTTTCAATTAAAACTGATTTCATGACAGAGTTATCAATCTGTGGTTAATAGCTTTTTTTCCCTTCCAAAGCAGAAAATTAAGTATCTGTACAAGGACTTTCACTGGATACATGACCGAACTTATATCATATTAGGGATCCAACTGCAGTTAAGTGTTGATGGATTCAGCAATTCGCAGCAGCCCTTCAAAGCGTAGAGGCTGAAGTTTCCTCCTGGGATAATCTCATTGGGCCCCTTGGCAACAGTGCTGGTAAAAGCAGAATGAACCGTTAGTTGGGCCTTAGATAGCAGGAACAGCAGGTGCGTAGAGGATGATGCATTGTGAATGTACAGGGCAGGAAGCCAATTTCCTTGTTCCCTTCTGGCTAGGGAGGGTTTAAAATAGAGGCGTCCGAGGGTTAGTGTTGGTTCTCAAATTCTGGGTGGCCTCAAGGTCTCTCCCTCTTTCCTCCATAAGAACAAAAAAGGGGATAGAACCAATACTTATAAAACACTTGTGCATAATGAGAGCAGGTGGGATGAGGATGTTGCTTTTTCAAAATAGAAAGTGTAGAGGGTGGAGGTGGCTGGCATGGGCCACTGGTGGCCTCTCATTCAACTGCCCGTCACCATGTTGTGGGACCATCTCATTCTCCTTGAAAAGGAAACAATAAAAAGTAAAGTGCTGGGCAGTCAGGTAGAAATGAGCAGTCTTGGAGGTCACTGAGGATAGATTCCCTCCCTCATTCTCAGCTGAGCACTACCTTCTATGTCCCTGCTACACTAACTCTCAAGTGAACAGTACTGGTGGGTAAAGGAAAGGTAGAGCACCACAACTGTATCTCCTTAGCATCTAAACTGTTCCATAAAAGTATGGACACAGATTAGACAAAGGGGAGGAATGTGGAGGCAGGGGGCCTGGCTGAGGTCGGTCAAAGGAAGGCTCTTCCTGGTAAAGCATGGCTATGTATATTGACTCCTTTTATTCTTTCTTTAATTTTTCTTAATCTGCTCTGCTACACTATTTGTGGTCAAAGAGTGGATCTGAGTCTTTCTCTGGCCCTGGGTGGAGACATGACATCTTAAACTGCTTAGAAGAGCATGATATTGATATGTAGCTAGAGGCTTTCTGGTAAAGAACAAAGGCATATTATTATTCTTTCTCATAAGAACTAACCCAAATCCCTGAGATTAAAAGCTAATCTCAGTCACCCAGACAGGAAAAACACCCCAGGAACACCTGTTCTAAGGACTTTAAGACAGTGTATAAATATAAAACCTACCTAAAAATGGAGGTTAGCCATTGTCCACTCTCATCCCTTGAGGCTGCCCCACTTTACTCTGCAATAAACTCTATAAACACCATGCATCTCATCTGAATTATTTTAATGGAGATCTCTCGGACTAGAGACCTGAGGGAAGGCTACAGAGAGGCCCTGACAGCAGTAATGAAGGGCCTTGTCTTAAGTTGGGTAGAGCCTTAAATTTCCTATCTTGATTATGCTGAGACTAATATTGCTTGAGTGGGCACAGCCCTCTTGTGCCAAGTGCAAAAAAAAAAGATTGTGCCCAACGTATATGGTGATTGCAAGGTTTAAGTGAACTAATTCACACAAAGTGCCTAATGTACAGAGGGTACACGCTATGTACTTGTGAGCAGCATACATGTTTTGATCCTAGCTTTCTAGTTTTATCTGAGAAAAGATGCAAGGCATTAGAAATGCCCTAAGTTCTTACATGACAATTAAAGAGTGAATAAAGTTATAAAAACAATTGGTGAGGTCTCTGTGCTGGTGTTGTCACATATTTACTCCAGGTCTATGGTCATTACCCCATCTACCCATTCTCCTACCATCATGGAGTAGATATAATCGTGACCCAGTAGTCATGGCAACCAAGTATGGGTAAGGGTAATAATACTATGATAGTTGGGTCTATGGTAATTGATACGTAAAAAGTTGGTGGAGAACGAGTGAATGGATGATGAGGCACCGAGGCACAGCTAAAACTCCATCAAAATAGGGTTTATTAGCAAAGGAACACATGGGACAGATTCCCTTCTAGGCAGGGAAAATGTCTACCCAGGTCTTGAGCTGGGGTCTTTCAAAAGAGAGGCTTCTGCCTCCTGCAGAAGGCAGGAAGATGTAGTTTTTTTAAGTTGGGGGGGGGAGTGGGAGAGCGGGTCTGTTAAAACCTGTCCTCTTTAGAGATCAAAGGGGAAGCCTGCTGTGTTGGCCAAACAGTGGAGAAAAGTCTCCTTCTCTTGACTTCAAAGACCAAGGTGCTTATCAGCTAGGTCCCCTTTTCTCAGGAGCATGAGAAGTCCTTGGGATCCTGTTGGTGAGGGGGCAGGGCTATCTGAACCTTAACAGTAATAGTAAGGAAGAAATTCACATTCCTTATTAGAAGGAGAGAAGGTGAGGAAGTAGGAGACCTTCACCTGGGATCACACCCACCACTTCCTCCCCACTGCATATGATCTTGGAAGGTGCTAGAGAATAGAGCAGATGAAAGGTTAATGGAAGGTTGACTCCATGACAGAGCCTCAGCAAGTCTATCACCATGATGGAGTGGGACTTTTTGGTTATATGACCATTTTGGGGTCACCCACATTTATGTAAGTAAGCCCAATAAACTCATTGGTTTACCAAGCTGGGCTTTAGAGGAATTATTACTTTTGTCTGTTGTTGGAGCCCTATCTAGGGTGAGCAGACATTAGTTCACATCTCCCCAGGAAATCACATGATAGTTGGGTTTGATTATTAAGAGATCATAAAGAAGTTATAATCAAGAATACCTGTGCAACAGACTTTGGCAACAAGACACCACTCTGGTTGTGTTATTAAAGGAACTGTAGTTAAAGGCATTGTCTAGAACGTGATGGCAGCTGATGTCCACAGGGGTGCTGGAGAGTGTGCCTGGAAATGGAAAACAGTGCCATTTGCTTTCACAACTCGACAAAATCCCGGAGCTTGCCTCTGTCCTGAGCTTCTCCACTCCACCCCACACACTTCATTTCACAGTGAACTCAGCCCAGCTCTAGCTCTCAGCTTTCTGCATTAGCAATTGCTGCGTGTGCAGGCTGGAGGCCTGTGGGCACCTGGGACAGGATCATACCTGCAATGCAGGCTGTCATGAAGCAGGCAGTGGTCCCTGCAATCAGGGCTCTCATTGCTCCTGAGGCAATGTCGTGCCTTCTGGAAGGAGCTATGGATGCTGGAGAAAAGATGAAAGGTATTTGAGATTAGACTGATCAAAATCCAGCTCTGTAGCCTCTGAAAATTATTTTGTGACTGGAATCTGAGGCCAGTTAAAAAAAAAGTCCGAGATTTATCCAAAGGGCTCATGATGCATTGTGGGCATGGAAAAGTCAGGGAGTTACGAGCAAGAATTAATCAGTGAGGTAATCTCCAACTCAACTGCCACCATCTACTTCTACGCCCATGGCAGACATCAGTAACAAAGGACAGCACCTTTTACACTGAAATTCCGTAGGATCTCAGGACCTCCAGGTGCTGGTTGTAAATTATTAATGTTGGTGTATAAGTGAAACCTCAGGGTTATCATTGGCTTGGGAAAAGTATCTGTATATTTGAGCATATTTATCCTGAATGCTTGAGTGTACATAGGAAAACTATATTGTAGAGCAGAGATAAACCATAGACCCTAAACCAGGCAGAGTGGTGCACGCCTTTAATCCCTGCATTAGTGAGGCAGAGGCAGGCAGACGTCTGTGAGATCAAGGCCAGCCTGGTCTACATGGTGAGTTCCAGGTCAGCTGAGGCTACAGAAAGACTCTGTCTCAAAAGGACCAAAACAAAACAAAACAAAACATAGACCTTAGGGAATTTGAAGATCCATTTTCCCTTGATCTGAATATTACAGAAAAAGATGGGGGCCCAAAGCATGTCAATCTGTTGTCAAAGATTATTCTTTTCACTTACTAAGTCCGCCGATCACTATTCCTAGGGAAGCAAAATTGGCGAAGCCACAGAGGGCATAAGTTGCAATTGTCTCAGAACGAATCTGTAAGTAAGCACAGAACACTGATGCATACATGGTCTGACCCAGCTTAAGAAATCTGGCGTCCCAACTGGGATTCATTTTGACTGCAGAATTAATATTGACAAATAAATTGACAATTGTGTGGCTATCAAATAACCATGGATGGTTTCTTTGACTGCTTGAATATTGAGGGAACGTGGAAAGGGGTGTGTAGATTCGAGAAACATTTAACACTAGACTAGGAATTAGTGGCCTTGGCTCCTTCCTTGTCATTAGTACAGCCCATAAAGCTTGGCCATCTGCTGTATTATACCAGACACAGAACTAGTTGGTGGAAATATGAATTTGGTTCCAGAAAATTCACATTATACCTATTTGACAAATAGCTAACTCAGAATATATAAAGAATCCTATAATCCAATAAGAAGGCAAATACCTAAGGAAATATTGATGGAGTTTTGGATACTCCACAAAAGATGTAGAAATGGCCAATAAGCATATGAAAAAGACCTTCAACGTCACTAGTTATCAGGGAAATGCTAATCAATGCCAGAGCCAAAACAAATAGAGAGCCAAAACAAGTCTTTCTTACTTTAAATCGACTTATCTAAGGTACGTTGTCATTTACTGAAAGAGATAAAAAGACTGGCTAGGATGCTTACCCAGTGCTGGTAGGAATGTAAAATGACACAGGATGCTTGAGAGACAGTACGGCAGAGTCTCACCAAGCTAACACACACTGCTTGTGTGACATGGAAATGTTCATAAAGAAATAAAAACACAGGCCCACAGAAGGACTGTTCATGAATATTTATATGGCTTTATTCATAATAGCCCCACACTTACAACAACTCCAATGCCCTTCCTTAGGAAAGCTGATAAACAAATTGTGGACATCCATAAAATAGAATACTGTTCTACAAGAAAAAGAAAAATGCTATGTACCACAGCATGAATGCTAAGTGAGTCTGTTTACTCAACAGGCAAAAGTAATTATTATAGTTTGGATCTCAGATGTTCCCCAGAGCACATGTTGAAGGCTTGGTCCTCGGTACTGTTTAGATGCAGAGCCTCTGGGAGATGACTGGATTATGAGGGCAGGGTCTGACTTCATGAACTGGATTAGTCCATTTGCTGATTCATAGCTTAGTGGGTTTGGAAGAAAGGGGTTTGTCATAATGTTGAGCTTTCTCTTTTGATTCTTGATTGTCTCAGGGGGAAGGCAGCTTTCCTCCTCCACACACTGCTGCCATGGTAGCTGCCTCACCATTGGCCTAAAAGCAACCCTGGACTGAAACCACTAAAACAAACCTCCTTTCTTTGGTTTATCTCAGGTATTTTGTCACAGTAATGAAAAACTCACTAACACAATAATCTACAGTGGAAAAAAGATCATTAGTTGCCTGGATTAGGTCTTCAGAGGGGTATTGTCTATAAAGGGCCATGAGGGGAGTTAAGGAATTGTATCAGTAGAAAGGAAATTCTCAGGATCTATCAAGGAGCTTCCTTACAATCTGGCTATCATGCTTGCCTTTGTTCTTCAGCTCTGACTACCCATGGGAAAGTCAGGAGCCCATTTGGAAATGCAAGAGTGGGACTGGGCAGTGGACACTAGATGGTGAATTAGCAAAACTGAGGTTGTGGCCCTCTGGCTCTGTTCCTACAGTTAAGAGGTGCTGCGTGGCCTGATAATTCTCCCTCAGGCTGAAGGACTGAATACAGGAGTTGCTACAGACTCAGTGCTCATCCATTGCTTATCTGGGGTACATCCAATCCGGCAGAGGTACTAATTTAGGCTGTGGTCTGCTCTGAGTTACTCCATATTGTGCATCCCTATCAGCTCCCCCTCCAGGAAGGCCTCCTTGAACTCTGATTCTTTGATTCAGCTTCTTAACCCTTTGCAATCATTCTGTAGCCTAGGTATATGCACATGGACAGATGTGTGATGTGGACTAGAACAACCTGTCTCAGCTAGCTGTCAAGAGGAATTGGAACTACTTGGCAAATTGCAGCCAGTGAACTGATACAGCTTGTGAATTTAGTTAATAAATTCTGACACTGGAGACACAAACATGTCTATGTTTCTGACTTAGTGCCCTCACAACAGGTACTCACACATTTGGAACAATAATTTCCTCTCCAGTTTCTTGAAAAGCAAATGACTTAGTGCAAGGGGAAAAGGCCTCAAATAAATGCTACATTCAAGAGCAGTATTTTTCTCCCCTTGGGCTAACTGGGTTTTTGAAAATCTCCATTCAAGATTCGTTGTGGTTTTCTAATGAGGCCTGTCTTTTCTCTAATAGTTTCTGATATAGTTTCAAACAGCATGCATACAAGCAGGAGGGAAAAAAAGTACGTGTGTGGTCCACTGTTCCTGGACAAGATGGTTCTTGTTTCTTGATCTTCCATTGCTTTTCATTCAGTAATTCAAAACCACACCAGCTGGGTGTGGTGGTGCATTCCTTTAATCTCAGCACTGGGGAGGCTCTGCCCAGGCTGATTTCAGTGAGTTCAAGGCTATCATGGTCTACATAGCAAGTTTCAGGCTAGCCATGGCTACATAGTGAAACCCTGTCTCAAAAACAAAACCAAAACAAAAACCAACAACAGACATGTTCATTAAGAAACTGTGTGTGTGTTCCTCATCCCATCAAAGCTTAGGTAGCCGTGTGTGTGTGTGTGTGTGTGTGTGTGTGTGTGTGAGAGAGAGAGAGAGAGAGAGAGAGAGAGAGAGAGAGAGAGAATGAGAGAGAGAACATAAAGGTCTTGTGATCTCTCTTCCTTAGATAGGATCCAGGGGAAGGGGTATGCAGATGTGGCTATGTGTGGTTTTGTCAGAAGAAGAAAAGGTTGTCTCCACTTTGCTTTTGTAACTGGAGAGCTGGACTGCACTGGAAAGACGATGCACACCCCTCTGTTCTCCTGTGTGTGAGTAACAAGCTGCTGTGGCTACTGTGACTCAACAGTAACCGAGGCTGCTGTTTCCCGTGTGCCCTGTGTGCCTCAGGCTGGGCTCAGCCCCAAACCAAAACAGCTCTACAGTTCAGGCTCTGCCTACCTAACAGGCTTTTCACAGAGCAGCTCAGTGCTGCCAGAGCTGGCAGCTTGCTCTGCTCATTAACAAAAGTACTTTCTCCTGGCAACTGGAAAGTTGAAAACATTTTGCTTAATTTAGCCTATTGTTTACTTTTGGCAGGGAAACAAAATGGTTTAGGCGGCATCCAAACAATGAGGAGAACTAGCCAAGTTCCGCTGTACGGTTAGCTGAAAAATGAACACGTAGGAAATAGGAGACCCACAAGCCCATTTCTATCAGATGTGTGGGTCTGTGTGCCCCAGAGCGCAGAATATAAACCAGCACTCTTCTGGGGAAGACTTGCATGATCCATCTGTTTGGCCTTTGGGAGTCCAGGAGGGAAGTGCTGCTGTCTGGGATGAGTATTACCATGCTGGGCTGTGTAGCGTGTGTTAAAGCCTGGGACATTAACCCTAAATGGATTGGTCCACCGAGTGACAGGGATGGTCAGAAACACTCATTTCCCTTAGTTTCCTCATGTGATAATACTGTTCTTTTGAGGGAAATTATAATCAGAGATTCAGCTGCAAATATGTCCTTGTCTTAAGTTCCTCATCCCATCAAAGCTTAGGTAGCCGTGAGCACCTCTTTACATGCTATAGATTTGAAGGCCTGGCGTGATTCTAGGGTGATTCATCCAGGGATTTCTAATGGCAGACATCGTGCTTTCTCTCCCCTCATCCCTTTTGACATTAGCAATATTTCTTGAAGGTGACTACGCACAACATTACATTTAGTTTCTTAGAACTCATAAAACCCCTCATGCTAGAAGAGACCTTCATGAGCATTAGACTACTGGTTCTATGAAGGTAAGGCTTGCTATAATTTGGTTGCTGAATATCCTTCAAAGGCCTATATGCTGAAGGTGGGAGGTAGAGGAAGATTTAGGTCAGGAGGCTAGGTCTTGGACCACACCCTCGAAGGGGATGTTGGAACCCCATCCCTCTTTCTCTCTGTTGACTTCCTAGCTGCTTTGTGGTGAACAAGCATCCTCTGCTGTCTGCTCCCACACTGACATTCTGCTTTGGACAGGTCCCAAAGCAATGAGGGTGATGGACCATGAACAGAAACCTCTCAACCTATAAGTTGTTTGTCTTCAGTATTTTATTACTGTGACAAAAGTGACTAACAGAGGGCCTTTTGACCTGTTCAGTGCTGTTGGGCCTCAGTACCTACTACACTGAGCATAGATGGTATTTGATAAATCTTCAGTATATGGCTCTAGGTCTGTGTGTACAGTCTTTAAAAGTAACTCATGAGGCTGGAGAGATGGCTCAGTGGTTAAGAGCACTGGCTGCTCTTGCAGAGGATCCAGGTTCAGTTCCCAGCACCCACATGGCAGCTAACAACTGTTTGTAAATCCAGTTCTAGGGGACCCGATGCCCTCTTCTGTCCTCTGTGGGCATCACACACATGTGGTATACTTACATACATGCAGACAAACCATTCATACACATAAAGTTTAAAAAAAAATTAAAAACAATTTAAAAAGTAACTCATCATAGTGGTATAAATTAGTTTTTCCTCTCTCCACACAAATATCATATGATCAGTTCAACACAACTGGAAATCATTCAGTGTTCCTTATGAGCTCCATAAGATGAAGGAGATTTTGGGTTGTTTTGTTCTTATAGAACTTAAGTGCCTGGATAGTGACTGGCCCAAAGTCAAACAAGCAGTTATAGATGGTATTCAACTATACTCTCAATAGTGAGCATGTGTATCTATTGATGAGGAAGCATACTCACCGACATGTACTGCTGCACACCATTCACAAATTTGGGTCCAGCCTCTTTCCTCAGATTGATCAGTTTTGAGAGGTGCTCATAAGCCACAAATTCATTGAAGAATGTCTTGTAGCCTATGAGTTTGGCAACCATAAAGCTGTCTTGCCAGTCGACTCCCATCATGAAGGAGAAGGGCATGAAGATGTAGGAGCATATGAGCTGCAAAACCCCAGAAGTAGTGACACTTTGTTAATACAGGAATTTGCTTCTAGATCTGCTTCCTCATCTCACTGACAAGACTCTTCCTGCCTCTTCTGCCCCTTTTGGGTACAAAGCACCCCTTGCATGCAGTTGTCCATCTTTATGTAGCAGGAGAATATGGTGTGTCTTCACCAAACTTGTGTTAAGGCTTGATTTCCAGGTAGCGATGTTGCTGGTCTAGGGCCCTTAAGATCAATAAGTGTCTTTCTCATGGGACTGCATTAGTTCTCTGTGGAACGGATTAGTATTTGAGAGAGTAGTTGTTAATAAAGAGGTCAGCTCTCTGGTCTCTCCTTTCTTTTAAAATGTGCCCTCTTGTCCTTTGTGTTTTTCTGTCATATATGGGCTGCATGTGGCCCTCACCGGAAGTTGGTCAGATGTAACCACCTCACTGCAGATTGCAGCCTTCAGAACCGAGTTAAGTCCCCTTTATAAAATGATTCAATCTTGTGTTCTGTAGCACAGAAAACAGACTACAGCAGGAGTCAAGGATGGAACTTGGTCATTTGAGGTAACACATATTCTTGGGGAAGAGGTCATAAGAGAATGACTACTAGGGGGAAAGAGGGCAACAGAAGACAGCATGGGAGTGGGAAGAATGGGGGCAGAGATGCTTCTATGATGTGTGAGGGCAAACCAGAGGCAGTTAGGAGAGGGTGCTAAAACGTTTTTGTTGTTTGTTTGCTTTTGTTTTCTGAGACAGGGACTCACTATGCTGCCCACACTGGCCTTGAACTCACGGCTATCTTTTACCTCGGCCTCCTGAGTGCTGGGGCTGAATACGTGAGCCACCACGCTTGATTTCTAACTTATTTTTAAGCAAAGGTAGTCAGAAATAAAGCTTGGCAGGAGTATGGTGGAATCATACCTCGAAACTCAGCTGCGGGTAGTCGAACATGCCTCCAAACCAAGACAGGGCTGAATTCATAAAAGACAGCAGGGCCAAGAAGGCAATCAGGTTCGCAGCAATGTTAGCCACCAGGGGGATGGAGGAGGCTGCGCCCTGTGTTGCAGCCTCCAGGAGATTCCTTGAATCACTTCATTAAAAGATAGCAATTCTAGAATTACCAAGGAGTGTCTCTGGGTGGATGTCACAGACACAGAAATGGCCTAATTATAGTTTAGTGGGTGAGAGGCGAACCCTCAGGAGCATACCTTGGTCAAAATAATCACTTATGCCATGTGATTGTGATGGGGCTGATAACTGACGACAGGTGGGGGTGTCTGACTCTACTGCTACACTGCCTTTTTCTTTGGTGCTGGAGGTGAACCCTGGGCTTCATGCTGATAAGCACTCACCCACATCCCCAGTTGTGTTTTTAAAATCTGGGACATCTATAATAAAAGCTGGGAAATCATAAAACAGCGTAGGGTTAAAAATTATCTACTAAGGGTCTGGAGAGATGGTGCAGCAGTTAAGAGAACTGGTGGTTCTTGCAGAGGACCCGGGTTTGATTCTCAGCACTCATGTGATGGTTAACAATTGTTCATCACTCCAGTTCCAGGGGATCTGATTCCCTCTTCTGGCCTCCATGGCCACTGCATGACTTGGTTGCGCTTATGTACATGCGTGCAAAGTACGCATACACATAAAATAAAAATAGTCTTAAAAATTAATTAAAATTATTCATTAAAAGTAGCTATTTGAGAATACTTACAAAAATCTCATGACACTAAAAACTAACACTTCATTTAAGAAATGGAATGTCTATTTGCTTCTTTATGGAATAGATATATTTTCAGCCTATTTGAATAAAGACCTGATCAAACATGCAGTGAGAAAAAAAGAAATGAAATGTCATCACCTTTGAATTCCACTGCACGATCTTCCGCGTCTCCTGTCAACCCCTCTAATCCCAGAGCTACCTTTCCCTAAAATCCATTTATCTCTCTTTCTTTACAATTTTCCTCCATGTCTGTATCCTTAATTAGTACACCATGCCCATTTTCATGGTTACTGCCTCTGTAAGAGGAAGCCACAGATTGGTATCTCTTATCCAAAATGCTTTGAACCATAAGTGTTTCATATTTCAGAGTTTGGGACAGTTTCATTAATCATAATGTGATATCTTGAGGGGGTGAGACTTAAAATGTAAACATGGTATTAACTGATGTTTCATATATACCTAACACACATGACTTGAAAGTAATTTTATAAATTTTAAGTTTTCTATGTATGTGTGCATTATGTATATTGGGGTGCATATGTGTGTATTGGGGTGCATGTGTGTGGTGGTCACAGGAGAACTTTGAGGAGTCACTATTTTCCCTCCACCTTTATGTGGATTCTGGGGATCAAACTCTGGTCACCCAGGCCTGTGTGGCACCTGCTCTTACCTGCTGAGCCATTCTGCTGGCCCTATACAGTATTTAAATAATTCTGTGCACAAAGCAAAGCTTAATGGAATGTGATTTTCCACTTGTGGTATGATGCCAGCACTCAAAATGTTTCTGATTTTGGAGCAGTTTGATTTTAGACTTCTTTAAACATACTTTATTTTTTATTTTTATTTTATGTGTATGAGTGGATTGCCTGCACGTGTGTAAGTGCACCCATGCTGTGCAATGCCCACGGAGGTCAGAAGAGGGCATTGAATTCCCCTGGACAGTTGTTAGCCACCACGTGGGTACTGGGAATTGAACCCAGGTCCTCTGCAAGAGCTCTTAATCGCTGAGTCATCTCTTCATCCTGATTTTAGACTGTGGGTTAGGGGCACTCGCCTTTATTTAATCCTTTGGCAACCTGCTTTCTCATTCATGGCTATGACCCTGTTTTCACATAATTAAGGGATGAGGCTCAGATACATGTTGGTTAAACTATGTGATTTCATGATGCTTATAAATGTCTTAGCTCCCTGAAGCTTTCTATTCTTTGTTATTCCTTCTTCATAGGCCAAAAGAAAATAAACCAACTTTTTTATTACATGAGAGATTTCTGAAACATTCATTCCATGACTTTCCAACAGTTTTAAGCCAGTGTCGCAGTTCTTACAGTGATGAATCTTTGCAATGAATACTTAAGACATGTACTGACATTCAGATGTTTAGAAGCTTTTCCTAAAGTGTTGGAAGAGTTTTGTTTTGTAGGTAAAATCTACTAAGTCACAAGGAAATTAAACGTAATATCATTCTAATACCATAATGTGCAGTGTTTTCCTATTATCAAATTTTGAATTTGGCATCCCTGTCCCAGCTTGTTAATTAGGTGATGTGTCCCACTTACCCATTTTCCAGTTTCATGGCATTCTTGAGGGTTACCTTTGGTGTCTCTGTTTCAGGCCAAAAGAGTTTGGCAACAGCCAGTGATGCAGGTGCCGACATGACTGAGGCTGTTAACAAGTGTGTGGATGACACCTGCAGTTTGAGGAGAAGCAACAGGCTTAGTTGTCCTTTCCAGAGGAGCAGTCCAAAAGCCTCAAAGGGAAGAGAGATGGGGCAGAAGCTGATGCCGTGTCAGAGAACAGCGTTTCCTTGGAGGTTTGGAAAAACAGCTCTTCTCAAGGAGCCCTGTCTGGCATCACCTTTCGAGTCAGAGGATGAGGGAGGAATTTGTATTAACTGACCACATCCTTGGGGAAAAGCACAAAACCACACTCAGTTATTTTGGATAAAAATCAATTCTGCCTTGTAAGACCTTTCAAGGATTTCGCAGCTTCTCTGTTGTCTCTGAATACTCAACCGGTCCCTGTTCCCCACATCTGCAGTTCCATGGGGGGAACCGTGGGTGAAAGGGCATGGATAAAGGACTTCTGAGCTGTGTACAGACCTGGGTGCACTCCATCCACTTTAATCTCCTGAAATCCTGTCTACACACTATTAATTTATCCACAGTCCCTTTACTCTGTAAATGATTTCTGCTTTCCTCATGGCAAGTTCCCTCCCAGCCCCATATTTTTATTTTTTCTGGATTTTCTGCCCCACATTTTCAGGATCCCAGAATCTTCTTCGCTATTCCCATTACACCTAGCTCATTGCTGAGGTAGTACTCCCACAGCAGGAGCGAGATGGACCATCTGTGAATTGGACTGTTTATTTGTATGGAATCCTGTTTCTTTCTTAAGCTTTTCCAACTAACTGGTCCTTGCAGGCCCACATAAAGGCCCAGAATGAAGGTCGTGTATCTTCCTAGAAATCCTTACCACCGGAATCACACTGCACTGCTGCTTCCCCATTGGCGTCTGTATCACTGTGGGGCTTGTGTAGTCTATGACTGGGGGCACACATACCAGTTGCCGAGCATTCCTCAGCCTTATACAATTGGCTGTCAGCTCTCAGGATTGTCTCTACTCCATACCTGACATTGATATCAGGTTTAGGAACCTGAGGCTAGACAGGACACAGGACATAGGGGATAACCTATTAATGCATCTCTCAACTCACCAGAGAAATTTTCTTATGCAACAGATGATGATTAACACAGAAACCCACAACTGGCCAACCTGTAGAGATCCAGAGGCTATAGAGTGCATATCCACGAATAGGACACCTGTATCAAACCTCTGCCTCCCAAGGATTAGAGCTCATTGTGGAAGCGGGGAGGAAAGATTGTGAGAGCCAGAGGTGGTGGATGACCACAAGGAAACAGAGTTTTTCAGGCAGCTGATCAATTAATTACTCATATGAACCTATAGCAATGGTGGCAGCATGCACAAGTCTCATCCAAGCTCAAACCAGACAAAACCCCAGCATAGATATGAGGAAGTGGGTAAGAAACCCCAACTAAGGAAATCATGGCAGCTGAGGGCAACTGGGAGGAGCAGAGACAGCCTCTTGCAAGGATGGAACTCTTGGTAGGTTAACCAGACGCCAGTGGGTGGACCCACACTGAAGGATATTTGTGGACACTAGACTCTGTAGTCTAATTATTCTATCTCATATATCTATATATATATTCCCACATTAAATTGGGAAGGGGCAATAAAGTGAGAATACCATCAAATTGTATGCAAATTGCAAAAATTCAATTTAAATTTATTTCTCAATATTGACAACTAGATTTCATTCCAAGAAATTCTAGTTTAATTACCCTTGGGTGTGGGTATGGAACTTAGAGCCTTTAATAACTTTAATGTGATAATAACTTCCAGGTGATTCTAATGTGCAGTAAGGCTTGGGAACCACTGCTTAGAGCAAAATTCCCTTCCCAAGGGCCAGAGTATTTTTGACTTTTTTGTCCAAACTACTCAACTTGCTCAAGGCAAAGGAATAGGAATAGCTAGTTTAGTCAAATCTTAGTAGCAAAAACTAGCAAGACCTGGATTTGGCCCATGGGTCATAGTTTGCTGGACTCTGATTTAGGTCATCTTTCTAACGTTAATGATAGTTTTTTTTTTTTCTTTTTTCACACAGATCTAAAGTTTTAGCTCAAATATCTTATCGTATGATTTCATTTTGTTGTGCTTAGATATGACTTCAGGCAGGAATGTCAGGAGGTTCTCTGAGAAGAATTGATCTTCTAAACCTCCAAGGAAATGCCATTCTCTGGCACCGGATGAACTCCTGCTCTGTCTCTCTTCCCTTTGAGGCTTTTGGACTGCTCCTCTGGAAAGAAAAAGCGAAGCCTATTGGAGGTAGAAAATGGAAGCCCCCAGACTCCTTGGAGTCACTATATTCAAATTCCAGAGCAATGGTGGCAACTTTTGTCATACTGAAAAAGGAGACACTTTTTGGCGTCATTTCTACCAGTAATGAGACAGGAAAAGAAAAGGAGGAACAAGAAATAAGAAGGATAAGATTGAAGTTTGCATAAATTAATTTTATTCCTAAACATTCTTACCCCAAAAGAAATGTATGCACCCAAGACGCTTCCAGCAATTGTAGCGAAGCCGGCTGTCATGATGGCGTGGAGTTCTGACCTGGTGACATGAGATAAATATGGCTGGACCAGCAGTGGAGACTCTGTCTGGGGGCAAAGATCAAATGTTTCCTTTTAAATGTGAGGAGGTGTACCACCCTACTGTGTTCCCTGCGTCACTTCAGGGTGGATCTCAGATCATCTCCATCAGCTACCAGGAGCTCACTGGAAATGCAAGGTCTGCAACTTGAATCAGAAACTCAAGGGTGACCCAGTGATCTGGTGCAAGCAGCTCTCCAGATGATTCTGGCACACGATTCCTTGGGGTGCCTACATTCAAGTGTCAGAGTGGGCACCTTTTGATATATTGAACAAGAGGGCCCTCTTGGTTTTATTATCCACCAGGAATGAGAAAGAAAAAGAAAACAAAAAGAAGTAACAAGAAAGAGACTGAAGTTTGCATAAGTGTTCTCCAAAACATTCTTCCCACCCCCAAGAAATGTATGTGCTCAAGGCGCTTCAAAGGTTTGCAGCGAGCCCCGAACCATTGGCATCTGGGTCTCTTGCACTCTAGGTAGGTCAGTGTACGCATGTAGGGCTGTGTAAGCCTTGCAATTTGTGAGGCTAATTAAAGAGTTCCTCTACCTAGCCTACGGCTGGACTCCATGAAGGCATGAAATACTTTTCTACAGGTTGACCAAGTAACTCTACCCAGTAGTCTGGCCTTGCAGCCTGGGGATTTCTAAGTCACTGTGATTTCCATCTCCAGGGTTTATCTGGACAGACTCTTATGTGTTTGGGGGAAATAGAGACCAGCATAGAAAAAGGAGTACCAGCAGGTACCCATAGGCCCTTTCAAAATTGAGAATCTGACAGGCCGGGGTGTCGTTGAACAGTCTTGAATGTCATTAGGGAGGGCAGGCGTCCTGCAATGTGGGGCTTTCCATCAATAATTGCAGCACTTTCAGAATATTAAGTATCAAATTGAGTGCCACAGATGCATGTGTGCAATTTTACAATTTTCTGCTCATTATTTCTAATTGTTCTATGAGATTGAATGCATTGAGGCTCAATTTATAGACTAAGTAGGAGCCCTTTTACCCCACAGGTACCAGCAATCATCTCAAGATGGTGCCTTAATTAGTCCTGAGAGATTTTATGACTATAATTATTATAATTTCAACTCCTAGGGAACGAAGTATTACTCCCCCCACCCCCATGCCCTCTACACACTACTAAAGACTACTTCAGGCTAGTGAGCCAGGCTTACCAAGAAGCTCAGCCAGCTTGGAGCAGTTGTAAGCCCGGGATTTGGGACCATGTGTTTCTCTGGGTGACCTGAGTTTTGCTTCCAGTTCAATGTCTTTGGGCTGTGTTGCTGCCAAGTAACCCCACTTGCCTTCATTGCTGTGTGAGTCCTTTCCCCCGAAAGCTGTGTGTTCTGAGTGATGTCGCTCATTACCATTCCTAATATATCTGTTCCTTAGGGTTGCAACAGTTTTGAGGTATTACATTTCTTTGCTTAAATGGACTTCAAGCAAAAGGGTATTTATTCATGTGACGGTTTAGGGAAGTGACAATTGTAGCCTAAAAGTTTATCTTCGATGAGATGAAAATAACCTGAAAACATTTTTCTGCAGGCTCAGCAAAGGCAGGTAGCTAAACAATTTGAGAACGCAGTGGATTTGTGTGGCTACAGGACACAGCTGGGTAGCCTTTCCCAGCATCCTTCACTGTTACAGGCATTGTAGTATAGAATATGCGGCTGCCTGTTCCCTATCTGCCTCTCCTACGTGGTGAGGTTCATTCAATGTGAACAGCCTCTGAAGGGTGGACCAAAGGCCTCAAGAATGCACCAGGGCAGATTTGCTGACAATTGGTGCATGAGAAACCCTATGCTATAACAACATGATGGTCCTCTCTCCATGTTTTCAAGAACCCAATTCCACACCACTCACTGTACCCTCCCCAACACACACACAGACACAGACACACACATATGGACATTGTCAATACTAGGGATTCCTTGTTTTACATTCTTCACTAGAAGCGATGACACAGCTATGATATCTTCTTACTCTATGTTTGGGAAAGAGACTATCTCTATCGGTAAGTATTTTGCTTTTTTATGGTTTTTGTTACTATAACTTACTTGTCCAACAAATACATTGCCAGCAGCAACCACAGACTCAATAGGAGATGAGCCCATAGTGACGAGCATTAGCCATCCAACCTGAAAAGAAGGGAAAGGAAACTGGTCAAGGTCAGTGAAGAGCTATTTATTTAGCAAAGACTTCAAAGTCTTTTACAAAGACTTCCTCTTTGTAAAAATCTAAGCTGTGTTAAATACTGAGGCCTTCAAAGATTGTTGGCAGGCTAGTGATGGTGGCAAACGGAAGTATAATTCACCCAGCCCACACTGCATATCAATCAAGCTCTCCTGCTTGAGTGCTAAGTCTGAGTCATTGTGTATACATTCAAACAATGTAGAAATTAATTCCTACAGATTATATAAGAGTCATGAATAAATAATTGCTGTCACTCACAGGGAGCTTTTCTGTATTCCAGAAACTATTGTAAACTCCAGACCTGGGCAATGTATTTAAACTTGATTCTTTGAAGCAGGCCCTATAATCAGCCCATTATACAGGAGAGGAAACCAATGCACAAAATAGTTATTCTCTTAAAGGCCAGCCAGCTAATAAATACTAGGATGATGTACTTGAAGTTTTTTTCCTACTTAATTCAAATGAACGTGATTTACGGGTTCCACATTTATATAGGCTTTGTGTGATAGATTATATCTAGAATGGCCCCAGGAGTTCATGTATTAAAGGCTTGCTTCCCAGTCCACAGTGTTACAAAGCCCACAGTGGTGGCATTTAAGAGGTGAAGCCCTAGTGGAAGGTCGAAGGTTGTTGGAGGGTACCCTTGAGGAGGATTTGGCATTTGGTCTCTGTGTTTTGCTTTCCAGGCATAAGGCAAGCAATTTTTCTTTGCCTCATTGCCCGCTGTGATGTGCTACTTCACCTAAAGGACAGGACCAGCTTGTCTTGAACTGAAACTTCCAAAACCACCATGCAAATCAGCTTTTCCTCTTTGTAACTTTACTTTTCAAAAATTTTTATACATATTTTATTATTTTTATTTTTTGTGTACAAGTGCATTGCCTGCATGCATATAAGTGCACACATGTAGTGCAATGCCTATGGGGGACAGAAGACAGCATCGGATCCCTTGGAATTTACAGATGCTTGTTAGCTACCATGTGGGTGCTGGGATTCAAACCCAGGTTTTCTGCAGGAGTAGCCAGCACTCTTAACCACTGAGCAATCTCTCCAGCCTCCTCTTTGTAACTTTATTATCTTGATACTTGTTACAGTAACAGAAAACTGACTAATACACCGTGATTCAACAAAGACTGTGCTACCAACCTCAGGATGGAGACTTCCTGTTGTCCTCTCTATATTCTTTTTGCTTGGACTCAAGTACAGTAATTCCAGACATTTAAATCAACAATTAAGAGATTATGAGCTATTGGAGCTGGAGAGATGGCTCAGCAGTTAAGAGTACTGGCTGCTCTTGCAGGATCCCAGCAACCACATGACAGCTTACAACCATCTTTAACGCCAGTTCCAGAGGCTCCGATGCCCTCTTCTAGCCTCCACAGGCATCGCAGGACATGGGTGCACTTAAATACATGCAGACAAGCCACTCATACACATACATAAAATAAATAAAAATTTAAATCCCGGGACTGGAGAGTTGGCTCAACTGTTAAAAGCATTGACTACTTTTGCAGAGGACCAGGTTCGATTCCCAGCACCTACATGGCAGCTAACAACCATCTGTAACTCCAGTTCCAGGGGATCTGATGCCCTTTTCTGACCTCTGTGGGCACTGCACAACACGGATGCACATGCGGGCAATACACTCATACACATAAAAAATAAAAATAAAATATTTAAAAAATTTTAAAAACCAAGAAACTATGAGCTCTGGAACTCTTGCTGCAATCCTGCAACTCTGACTCCACTGTTATCCTGGCTCTTTCCCATCCTTCTTTTCTTTCTGCTTATACTTTATTTACAGGGATCAAAGGACGGCTGTGACTGGCCCCAAGCTCTATGTGCCTCTCAGCTGCCATGTGCATCCAAACTAGCTTACAAAGTTCTTTTAAAAAAATATTCAGACTTTTTAAACCTTTTTTAAATTATTTTTTTTCTTTGTTTCTTGTTTTTAGAGACAGGGTCTCCCTATAGCCTCTGCTGACCTGGAACTCGCTATGTAGACCAGACTGACCTTGATTTCACAGAGATCTGTTTCCCAAGTGCTGGGATTAAAGGTGTGTGCCACCATAGCAGGTAAAATTTTAGTGTGTGTGTGTGTGTGTGTGTGTGTGTGTGTGTGTGTTGTCATCTGTGTGTCTGTGTGAGTGTATCCCACATGTATGTAGGTACCTGCAGAGGCCAGAAGAGGGCGATGGATCCCTTGGTGCTGGAGTGAGAGGTGGTTGTGAGCCACCTGATAAAGGTGATGGGAATGGAACTCTGGTCCTCTGGAAGAGTGGCGAATGCTTGTAACCACTGGGCCATCTCTCTGGCCTCCTTGTTTTCTGATTAAGATAGTCACAGCACCCAGTTGCTGTGGCAGCAAGGATGTGACTAACTTCCTTTCAGAACAAAGTCTATGCTTATAAAAGTCCCTCTGGAGTGAAGAAAGTCCTTGCTTTGATTTCTCTCCTATCTGCAAGCCAGACCTAGCTTTGGAACCTGATGAGAAGCTGTGGCAATTAAGGCAAGAGTGAGAGCTTGGAGGAAGCAGCAGCAGTGCTCCCCCTGGCTGGGGTCTGACCTCAGCTCCTTGGCTAAAGAAGCAACGGCTCTGGCTTCATGGAGATATCCAGTGAGCTACAATCAAAGTCCCTTTGGAGGTTCCTGACATTAAAATCCTCTGTACGGACACATGCAGGAGTGACGTTTTGAGTTTGAATATAACTCAGGTGATGGTGGAGGTGAATCTTTGTAGAGAGACAAAGGTGCTTTGGACTGCCTGCAGGAAGAGCATTTAGAACTCTGAGCTTGAAATAGCCCTACACGGTGGCCAAGCACCTCCCAATCCCAGTACCTTTCTGATGATCCACTGCATCAGTCCCAGGTAGTAGAGCATGGACATCACAGTGCTGAAGAAAACCACAATAGGCAGGATCTGGGGGGACAGGTGCTCACAGGTCAGTGCTGATTCTAGCTGTACTGCAAGTCTCCTTCCTACCTCCTTTCCTCTCACCAAAACATCATTATAGACCCAGAACTGCCTCTGAACTAAAGAATGCTTTGGTCAAGCAGTTGCCCTCTGGACAATTCTAGCCCTAAGTTCTGGGCAGGCTTGAGTGCTGCAGTTGTTTAAGTCTATCTCCTGAAGTTCATGTGGTGAATATTTAAATAGCTTACAAATTCAGTGGCGATGGTGTTTGGGGATGGAGACTTTGGGAAGTAATTAAAATTAGATGAAGTCATTAAAATGGGGTCTCCATAAGAGAAGAAGTAACCTTTTTTTCCGTGCTGGGAGGGGACTGAACCTAGAATTTGTACATGTTAAGAAGCACTCTGTCACTACACCCCCAGGCCCAATGGCAGCTTTATAAGAAGAGACATCCTAGTGGGTGTCCTTTACTCTGCTTTACCACATAATGCCTTTGGCCCTCACTAGCACTTGGCACCTTGATATAAGATGTCCTAGCCTTAGAACTGTGGCCTAAATAAGCTGTTTTAAAAGACTGACTGGCCTTAGGTGTTTGCTATAATAACAGAAGTCACATTAAGACAAGTGTACTTTTCACAGGAACCATGACATTTTCCCTCTTCTATAACGAGCTTCTCTTACTTAGTGAAAATCTACGGCTCTGAGGGAATTGGTAACAACTAGATCAATACACTGAAGGCCAACAACAAATATTCTTATTGTTATGGTATTCAAAAGACCTGGGTTTAGGGGCTGGGAAGGTAGTTCAGTGGTAGAGCACTTGTTTAGCATGTACAAAGTCCTGGGCCCAATCTCCAACACCATCCTCAGAAATAAAGAAAAAAAGAAAGAGAGGGGGGAAGGGATGGGAGGGGAGGGAAGAAAGAAAGGAAAGGAAAGGGGAGGGAGGGAGGGAGGAAGAAATGGGCATCACCACAAGCAGTGACCTGGCTCGTGATACATTGTGGCCTAGATCCTTGTCTGTAGTAGCTGTGCAGGTCAGGCAGAGCATGGCTGATGCTTGCATGCAGTGTTTATACAAAGTAAACATTTATGCTTTGAGCCTTTAAGATAATAATCTTTTATCTGTAAATTTTTAATCACTATGAAAGTGATCACATTTTGGAGACCAGCTTGGTTGTGTGCTTTCCTAGACCTTCCTCTCTGAGTGTCTTCATTGCAACCTGCATTTCTTCTAGAGGGAGTGGTTTCCACCTTGCATAGACACAAAGCCTGCCCCCCGGCCGACCTTGCCCTTTCCAACTGTTCCCAGGCTAAATGGCCAGAGGCAAGCTGATGCCAGAGGCACAGAATGACGAGCACAATTTATGCATGATCTAATTTAGAAAAAAAATCTATTAATAGTATATTTAAAACATATTTAGTGTCAGCATTCAGAGCTCACTGTGAGCTTTCTATTAGTTTTAATAGGAAGACATAGAAAGGGGGTCTGGATTTACCTTAAATGCAAAGAAGTGGTCTGTGTATTTTTCACCGAAGACAAATACAGCTCCAGCATTGGTGTGCCCCAGAAAAGTCTGAGTTCAAGAAAGAGAGGTGATTACAACCTATGAAGTGCTGCTATAAGCACAGGAATGGGAGACTCTGAGGATGATGAGGACCCAGAAGACTGGTTTGATAGACATGGAAAGTTGATGCTCTCAGCATCGATTCTCCAGTGAATGCCGTGGGCACTAGGGATAAGGGGTTCAGTGGCTAGCACAAGTAAGGGGCAGCGACAACCTTGATAAACTACATAGATGAACATATTTGACACAAACAAGTATTTGTCTAATTTATGCTATGGAATTAAAATTAGGGTAAATATTGCAGATAAACAAATCTGCTTCTCAAATGTCTTGAGGAGTATATCCAAATGTTTAAAGTACCATAAAAGTTTTGGTTTTTTGTGTGTGTTTTTGAGACAAGGTCTCATGTAGCTCAGGCTGGCCTCAAACTTGCTTTGTAGCCAAGGGTGGCCTTGAACTACTAGTCCTCCTACCCCTAGCTCCCAAGTGCTGGGATTATAGGCATGAGCCACCTCACACAGCTATGTTTTGAACCACCTACCTGAACTTGTTTGCCCAGCCAATCAAAAGCAATAAATCCAGGTTTAGTCCTTAGAATTAAGAGCCCAAGAAGAAACTGCAATCCAATTCCCCAAAACACGGGTCTCCAGTAAACCTGTGCAGAGTGAGATGATTTTTGGTAAGTTGTGCTATTTGGATTTTGTAATGAGGCTTAAATGCACAAAAAATTGCTAAGGATAGTCACACCTGGGAACTGAGAAGCTATGCTGTCAGAAATTGCTACAGATCCCTTTGTTTGTAGTGATCTTGTTATAAAATTAACATTGACCTCAGCACAAACATCCAAGGGCCCACTGCTCCGTTGGTAGCATTCTCAAATGTGGCTAGAGGAGCACAAGCAGCCAGAAGCAGAGTATCGTTTTCTTTAATAGTTAAGTTTATTCTTTTACAGTTTCATACATGTATATAATTCATACTGATCATTCTCACCGTCTGCCTTCTCCGTTCTCCCTCCCACCTCTTTCCTCTCTCTACCCTACAAATATCTTTCTTACATTCCTGTCTGTTAGTTTTGTTTTGTAGCCCACTAAGTTTAACCAGGGCCATCTGTGTGACCACGTGTTTTGGAATATCCATTGGAGCCTGGTGGGTTCAACAGTGGGTGAACAACTGAACGTAAGGACCCCCTCCTCTCCAGAATCTATCAATAGCCTATCATAATACAGGACTAGCAGGTAGGACCCTGTGATGATTAGCTTTAACTATCAACTTGACACAGACTACAGTCATCCGGGAGAGGAAGGGTAGGCCTCTATAGTTTTACCAAAAGCATTCAAAGTGCATGAAGAATTCATTATTTCTTCAAGAGGGGTTTCACTGATGTCTGGGTGTTCAACAGGCACATTTAAACACCAAATACTCATTTTTGTTTAATCACATTAGCAATGGGGGATTTCTGTGGTCACCTCTATATATTTCAGTGTGAAGTCTGAGAGTGCATATAACCACTAAGCTCTGATAAATACCTTGGACACAAAATATCATCTAAGAAGCATCCTAGCCACACTGTAAGCATTACATGAACAACTATTTCTCCCACTCGAAAAACGGAAAGGCAGAATTTGATTTCTCTGTGCTCAAGACTCGTTGAGCTGAATTATATGAATTCTGCTGAGTTGAAGGGCTTTTGTTTCACTGTAGAAGAACCCAATGACCTCTAATGCAGACCTAGGATGACAGCAGAAATGGACAATCATCTGTGTTTATTCTCAGAGCAGAATTGAGTGTCCTCAAAACTTGGAATGGATGGCACAGAGAATGGAGATGTTCACCTGAACAGGGAAAATCATTTCAATCAGATTAGGTCAACTCGGTCTTTGATGGATGCTTTTCTCTTGGGTCAGTCTTTTAGCCAGAAAAGTTTTCCATAGCTTGCCACAGTGATTCACAGGTAAGAGCTTCCAGTCCCAGAATTCATGCCCATTTCATGGGCTCTAGTGAGAATTGGATTCATTTGGGGGAAAGTGTGCAAGGATAAATTTTTGAAGTGAAAAAGCCCAAATTAGAAATGAAACTTTCATAACACAGGATTGAGGGCTGAAGATATAGCTCAGTTGGTAGAGTGCTTGCCTAGCATGCTAGAGCCCTGCGTTCAGTCCTCAGCACCTCATAAACTGAGCATGGTGGCACACTCTTACAAGCCCAGCACTCACAGGTGCAAGCAGGAGGAACAGATGTTCAAGATCATCCTTGAGCAAGTTTGAGGCCAGCCTGGGACACAGAAAATCTCTACACCCCCCCTTCCCCCAAAGGTACAGGATTAAGTACAGAATATTAGGTAATGATAGACTGGAAAAAGTCTGGATCAAATAAATGAATTTCTCAGTTGATGGGGTAGAGGGACTGGAGTGGAATCTGTGTGACACAGAAGAATGTTCCACTTGCTATGTAAATGGAAATTACTGAAAATCAAAGAGTTCCAGAAGAATACCTTTGCCACCCTAATCACAGCATGGAAAACACTGCATAGTTAAATATACTCACAATCATTATTTTTGAAGTGTTTACATCTGGGAGAGGTAGCAAAAAAAAAAAAAAATCAAACCAAAACAACCAAAATGAAACATAACACCCCCCTCCCTCCCAAAGTGACCAGCTCCTACTTACTCTGGTTGGGTGCTTGGAAAACAGAAATAACAGGATGATGTACATGATGAGCCCGCCAAAGGATACCAGTTGCTGTTTACCCAATTTGGCAGTGTCAAGGATCAGCCAGAAAATAACCCCCAGGATCAGTAAGCTCCAAACCACCCTGAGAATGGAAGGAAGGCGCAGGCATCATTGATCATGCTAACTGTAGCACTGTAGCGGGGCTTAAACTAACAAACAAAAATGCTAATGAGACCACACACCCCAGCACCAGGAAGCCCAGGCTTTTGGATGCTTTTTAGTTGTGGTTATAGTGACAAATATGCAAAAAATAAAGTAATATGTCTGTCTTACTCTCTAACTTGGGCCCTTTGCAAGTTCAAGGATATTCCCACAAGCATCAGAGGGGAGAATGGGTGTTTGGACAGGAATGTCTGGTCTCTATTTGAGGGATCTTTGAGAAAACCATTATTCTTAACCTGTGTTTCATGGTGGGTAAGGCATCACCTTCTTCCCTTCACGAGAGAACTTGAAATGTATTCTCTTGCAGTTGGGGGATCTCAACAGAGCTAAATCAGACTTTGGGTTATGCCTTCCCTTGGACTCTAGTGGACATGATAGACTTTGATTTAGAATGAGAAAGGACACTGTGTGGGGACTGCACAGTACTGATGCACTAGGCCGAGGATGTATGAAGTGCCCTGGGCATCCCATGTGGGTGCCCATGGAAAGAACCAGTCCTGGAAAGTGTTGAATAAGGACATTTCAAGGAAGAGGAGATCCCACAAAGAGAGGCAAAGAAAATTCCTGGGTATCACTGCAAGATGTGCATTTTTCTAAGGGAGAGCTAGCTTCCCCAGGGCCAGACCCAAGTCCAGAGCAGGAAACACCTCTTCAAGTCAGAACTGTCCTTACCCTCATCTAATACTGGCTTTTAGGTTAGTCTAGAAGCAGGTTATAGGGAGAAAGGAAAAATGGGGTGTTTCACTGGCTTTATGCTAGTAGGAGATGGAGCCATCTTATTAGAGTTTACCTGTGTCCATGGATCATTAGCTAAGGGTAAGCAGAGAGGTCATAAGATTTTTGTATTTTTGATTTCAACAACAAATGATTTTACACAACATACAGGATAGGTAGTTCTCTTAAAATGGGATGATGGAAGGAAAAATTATGACTTTAATACACTTTTTACACAAATTGTTGAGTGCTATGGTCTTCAGCATTAAGGCAATTTTTAAATTAAGACTTTATTTATTTATATTTTGTATATATGAGTGTTTTGCCTACATGCATGCAATCCCCACAGACGCCAGAAGAGGTCATCAGATCCCCCTGGGACTGGAATTATGGAATGCTGTTAGTCACCATGTGGGTACCTGGGAATGGAACCCAGGTCCTCAGCAAGAGCAGCCGGTGCTCTTAACTGCTGAGCCATCTCTCCAGCCTCAATAAGGCAATTTTTAAAACTCTAGTTTTTATGGAGCAAAAGACATAGGAAATAATTAGAAAAGGCCAAATTTAAAAAAATATTGGATTCAGTGCCAACAAGGAAATGCAAATAATGGGATACCAGTTGGCCTAAGTTAATAAAAAATAAATAAGAAGGTTTACATTCCATACTCAAAATACAAAAATAGAGACTGGAGAGATGGCTCAGCAGTTAACAGCACTGGATGCTTTTGCAGAGGACCTGGGTTCAGCTATTAGAATTCACTTGGCACCTAACAACTGTTGTAGCTTCAGTTTCAGGGGATCCAATACCCTCTCCTGGCCTTCTTGGGCACTGCATGCATGGGTACACTCATACATGCAAGCAAAACACTCATACACATCATTAAAAAAAAAAAATCCAAAAAAATCAAAACAATAAAATAAAAAAATAAGTCATCATCTCATCTTGGTCTTCATTTCCTGTTTGGAAATGTAGGTAAATAAACTAAAATAATAAAAGAAATAAAGTACTCAAGATTGAGTATATTCTATGATCTCCATTTTGTAAATGAATTTTAAAGAGATTATGTATAACTAATATAAGAAAGAAAGCAAAAAAGCAAGCTCACATTGCATCAATTTCCACTATTTTGTGTTTATAAACTAATGCTTTAAGTAAGTACTGAGATTAGATGGCATCCATGCTGCTGTTCCCTGACCCATGACAAGACAGACATTACTAATTGATCATGATGCCATTCTACAAGTTGGAAAGTGAGCTAAAGCCATCCTTTCTATGGCTACAACCTTGCATTATCCTAAATTCTTGGCTGAATATTAGCATGCAGGTATGCAAGCGTCTCTAACACAGGCATGAAGGTTGGTAGATTGTCTTAGGACATTTGCCAGCATCTGAATTAAGGAGGCTTGAGGGACACTGGAATACCTTTCAAATAGTCTTCCTTCTTGTTTGTAAAAAGGTATTATAATGGATTACTCTGGAGGTTGTTTCTGGCATCAAAATCTCACAAATGAAGACAGAATTTTAGAACATATTTTTGGAAAACACAGTGTCGGAAAGGACTAACACTCCCTCAGCTGCAGTAGGAGAATGAATTGTATTTACCACTTCAGCCAGAACCAATGGCTATTTAGAAGTCTTCTGACTGGAGACAGGATCTCTTCAATTCGATGTTCATATTTGGCCATCAAGTGATCCCAGACAACAAAGAATATGGTAGCTACGGTGATCACAAAGAGAGGAAGGGCTCTGTGGAAGTTCAGCACACAGGCGGCAGTCACCAGGGCCAGGACACCTGTGCAGGAGGCAAATGCAGGTTAGCATCACCAAAGCCGGAAGACCCTGGCTTCCAGCCTGGATCTGGCTTAGGCAAGGGGAGTTAGTAAGGCAGATGTTGAAGGCAGTGTATTTGATGTGAGCACTGGCTTCTCTGGCTGAGCTTTTGCTTTTCTTTCACGCAAGTCCCTAAGAGCTCACCATGATGGAGGAGAGGCTCACCATGGTTTGTTGTTTCTTAGAGCGCCTTCTTCTGGGTTCTTGAATCCTGATGCTTGATCATGGGCCTCTCCCTGAATACTAACTCACCATCCAACAGGTGAGCTAAAAAGCCAGGTATTCAAGCAACCACTGGCAAAGAGATGTTGATTTCCTAATTTGCCACTTAGGATTCGTCCAAGTTTAAATAAGAAAGGCAAGCTCAGTAACTATGGTGGCTGCATTTAAAGAGAAGATTCTAGGATGAGAATAAGGTTTCCAATTTGGAAATGTTAGCAAACAGTGGTCTGCAAGCTAAGTCTGGCTGCTTTTAATCTAGGTAGGTGGCAAGCACAATAGTATTTGCTTATGTGTGTTTGTTTCCTCCAAATAGAGTTATATTGGAACACAGGCTCAGCTATCTATGTATCATGTGTGATTGCTTTTTCATTACAATGGCAGGTTGAATGCCCCAAATAGCCAAGCCTGTAAGAGGGAAGATGATCAGTCTTGCTGTTCCTGTTCCTGCTGCTTGAGCATCAGCAAAACCCTTGACATTGCTCATTTAGTAGGCTTAGATTAAAGTCTGCAGGATTGAGAAGTGTTTACATGTTATAGACAGACTGGTTTTTACATTGGGCTTTGAAGCCCTTTGTTCTGGAAAGAGAAAAATCAGGCTACACTTTTATCTGCCTGTAGACCAGAGTGGGTCAGACAGCCTGGGCCTTATTCTGTATTCACTCCCACAGAGCTTTTGGTTTGTTTGTTTTTTATCTTGTGTTCATTGCCAAGTTTTCCAGTTACTGGCAAGCGCATTAGCCAATATGAGCCCTCAAACACATGTCACAGTAACAAAAGTTCTATGAACCCCAAGAGTTGTATAGGTGCTATGGTTTGAATGTGTCTCCCCAAAGTTCGTGTGTTGAAGATTTAATTTTCACATCCCTATGCTGATAGTACTGGAGGTGAGGTCTTTGGGAAGTAATGGGAATTAGATGAGGTCCTGAGGGTGAGGCCTCTGTGCTGTTGCTAGTGACTTTGTAAGAGGAGAAGAGAATTGGGTTAGTATGTGTGTTGTCATATGCGTTAAAGCCCTCCTCCTTGTTATGTTATAGTAAGAAGGTCCTCACCAATGCTGGTGCCTTGGTATTGGGCTTCCCAGCCTGCAGGATGATAGGATTCAGTTATAGCAACAGAAAGTAGACTAATACAGTAGGTGACTCAAAAAAGTGACCCACTGGCCTCATAGATAAGGCAGGGAAGCAATCTGGGTAGGCTTCCCTCACTGGGGTTCCTTGACTTCACTACTTTGGTTGATTGGTAAGGCCCAGGGAAAAGGGGGTGGGGTTTACTTTCTTTTCATAGAAAGCTAATACTTGAAAGCTCTCCCCCAAAAGACAATAGAGTTATCATTGCCCTTTGGTACTTACCCGTGAGTAAAATGGCCCAGATGATGTACCGAAGAACGGTTTTGTGTTTTCTACAGAAACCACAAATTGTATCATACTTCCTTTCCAAACACCTGCAACATAAAAGTGAAAAGACAGGCAGAAGTAAACATCCAAACGTGAAATAAGCTGTCATGTGAAGCCTATGACAGACTTTGTAAAGCAAGCAACAACAAACGAACTCTGGAAGCCATGTATTGCAAAACAGAAATGGGACATTCATTTAATTTTAGACTGAAGATGGCCATAACCTGAATTAACCATCATTGTATCAGATCAGAAGGGATCAGAGGGGCAGAAAATACAGCCCTGGCATAACAACCAAATCTGAAATAAAGCATGGAAGGACTGGGCTGCTTCAGAAGTGTCAGAGTTTCACATGCACACTGACTGCTGCTATGACGGGACACTTTTGATTGCTGGGGCTGTGAATACATATGCTGAGAACCCAAAATGCTGCTCTAGAGATATTAGGGGGATACAAGTGTAGTAAAGACTAAGTTTCTCATGGTCTAACTCAGGAAAAACTAGTAATACATGGCCCTCAGTTGAAGAGACAGCAATTTTCTTTTAAGGAGCAGTGTTAGAGTCACTTTTTGTAGATACATTCATCCACTGTTTGCTGACTTTATCCTTTATCAGATCTTTCAATTTCAGGGAAAGTATGCAGTCCATGACAGCAACCTAACCCTGGAAAGCAAAGTAGCTGGACATAGAACTGGATTCATGTGGTTGTCTAGGCCAACAATTCCCAACCCCCTGGCGCCATTAACATCAGTGATGCTGAAGACGAGGATCCCTCAAGAGACTTTCTTACGGGCCTTCATCTCCTAGATAAGAGCCTCATAAAGGAAGGATGAAACTCTGCTCCATTTCTGAGATGGTAAATATTCTTGATGGTGTATATGTGTCAAGACCTCTCGACTTGAATTCTGACTGGTTTTAGTGAAGATATTCTGATACATAAAAATTGGTTCTTCAGAGATGTAGAAATGTAACTAAAATATAAATAGGAATTTAGAAAATGGACATATATTGTAGTATTATGAGGATGGTGCTAGACTGAAAACCCAACTAGCTCTGTTCTCAAGCTGCCTACCACTTGGGCAGGTCACTTTTTCCAGCTTCATTGTACTAGTCCAAAAATAAAGATAACAATCTTTCCTAAACCATGTATGGGGTCGCACACTTGTAACCCTAGCATTTAAGCAAGAGAATGGTAAATTCAAGGGCAACAGTTTCCTGAGATTTAAAGTGGGTTGAGCTTTGAAAAACCAATTGCTATTGATTGATACTGACTGAGAAGATGAATTGACTCCTTTTGCATGGACTAGAGCAACTCGTTGGTGATTTATAAGTTTAATGAGAAGACTCTCCTTGGTGAGTTTAAATATTGAGTTTCTAAAGCACCAACAGGTTGAATTGACCACATAGATCATCCTAGAACTCCATTAACTTTTCTGAAGTAGTGTTGGGTGGGTGGGGCTGGAGGTAGTGGCAATTTCTAATCAATCATAATAAATTTAAAAAATAGAGGAGGGTAAGACAAAATGAAGAAGCACAAGGGATAAAGCAAGTATGAGGTAGATGTGGTGGTTTCCCTGGTTTAAGAACTGTACCCTTTTGGATGCTCATCTTGGTCATTCTCCAGGTCTTCTCTGTTTCCTAGGGGATCCTGCTCAATCGTGACCGGCTTGTCATCCTGGAGATCGAACATTGGAGCAGAGAGGAGAATGAGAATCCGGTGTCACAGACTCTGGGCTCCTTTGCAGAATTCAGGCAAGGAATTTTAATAGTCCCTTTAAATCATTATCCAAGTGACTGGCTCCTGTTATCTACTTCAGACATTCCTTTCCTCTTACAATCAGGAGAAATTCAGGACCACACCTTTTTTCCTTTCTTCCCAGAGGAGCCATTGGCATTCCCTACAAGCACCTTTTTGGAAAAGGAAACAGGTTTATATTTCTGCGTTTCGTTCCTGTCGCTGCTGTAATCATCCAACCCCAGATGTTTTCAGGTAAGGGTTAACTGAAGATCATAAATAGCAAAGGCTGTGTTATTCTCCCTTTACATTGAACCAGACCATTCACAAAGAACTCAAACCAAACTCAAGACTTGCTTTGTAGGTATGAATTTCTGCCTCATCCTTCAAGAGCTGACAAACCTTCCTTTGGGACTAGCATCCTGCCATCAGCTGGGACATAGCGGAACGTTTGCCCTTGCTCTGATGACTTAAGTGTAGCGTACACACGGGTCATCTTTCATGGACATTTTTTTCTGGGAACAGTGTAAGCTAGCTCTCAAATATCTATGATCCATTCTGTTTCCAGAACAGTTCAAAGGGCTTCCTCCTTCTCTCCATTCCATAATGCTTCAACTGATAGGTTGGCCATTAAACCCAACAACAAGGAAGACTGGGGAGAAAGTACACAGATGTGGGAAAGTTCTCAATGTGGGATGGCAGTTACAATGGTAAAGTTTGGCTGTTTTCTTTCTGGTGGATCCAGTGTGGCCTTTGATCCTCTGTACTCTAATTCATCGAAATAAACCACGCTTCTGTTCCAGAAAGATACTCAGAGGTCACATAATCCTTCAAGGTCAGACATATTACACTTCTGCACCTGATCACCTTCATTTTCTGGGATGGTCTTCAAGTACTAGGAAGGTAAGAAGTAATTGGAAGAGAGTCCAGCTGAGTCCAAACCTCAGATACTGAGGGCAGGGGTGGACAAACGTGAGTCTTATTCATTTATTTTTGTATGACATCTAGCTTGGCCAATAATTTGAGAATTATTTTATTTAAATGATCATGATTTTCTTGTGGCCAAAGTGTCCCAAGATACCTTGCCACTGACAGAATGTCTAGAATCTTCTTTTTAATCTTTTCTCCTCTTTTAAAACCAACATAACAACAAAGTCTTTTGACCGCCACTGTCCTGGGGCACCACCCCCCTCCCTTTGTAGCTTCCTTCTGTGGCTATTTCCTCACACTCCACTCCACTGACTGCTTAGCTCGTGACTCAGTTCACTGTGTTTAAATCCCTTTCAAGTCTCCTCCAAGCTCACCCAAAGCCCGCTGATACCAAATTAGCTGCAACTCAGGCCACACGTTCCTTTACGGTTTACAACTGTAAACTATCGAAATTCTGATTCATTCTTTGGGGAAACAACTAAAAAGTAGGCTTTTTAGAGCAATTTTAGGTTCATAGTAAAAATAAGCTTGAAGTCTAGAGATTTCTCATATACCCTTACACAACCATCCTCCCCCACCAACATCCTCTGTTTGTCACCACTGATGAGCCTGCACTGATATACCGCACCAGCTCTGTGGCTGACATTCAGGTTCATTGTTTTGGTATGCTCAGTCCATATCTGGATAAATGCATAATCGTAGCTGTGCACAATTGTACAGAAGAGTTTCAGTGCCCCGAAAGACTTCCTGGTTATCCCTTCTTCCTTCCTGACCTCTGGAAACCACTGATCTTTTCACTGTCTCTATAATTTTCCATTTTTCAAGATGTTGTCCATTGGGGATGGTACAATATGACCCCATCTCAGACTGGCTTCTTTCACTTATTTTTTTAAAATTATTATTATTACTATTATTATTATTTTTATGCACTATAATTTTTTTCATGACTTCATAGTTTGCTTCTTTCAAGTGCTGAGGAAGATTGCATTATCTGGACGGACCACCATTTGTTTACCCACTGATTCACTGATGGATATCTGGGCTGTTTCCAAGTTTTGTCGATTATGACTAAAGTGTCTGTAAATATTTGTGTGCTAGCTTTCATGTAGACTGAATTGCTTGTTGCGGAACATTCAATGACACAAACACTTCACAATATATTAAGTGAGATAGATAACTAATAAATACTATGGTCAGCATGTTCCCAAGAGCATGTTTGCAGAAAAGCAGGTGAGGTTCCAAGTCAGTACACACTGATGTTCTTTGCTTGAATTAAAGGCCAATTTTTATGTTCTAATTTTTAATACAATACAATAATTTTCCAAGTTTTAGGCACTTAGGATTACTTTTAAAATTTTATTTATTTATTTTTATTTTATGTGCATTAGTGTTTTGCCTGTAGGCGTATAAGTGTACTACATGAATACAATGCCTGTGGAGGCCAGAAGAGGACATTAGATTCCCTAGAACTGGAGCTATGGATCGTTGTTAGCCACCATGTGAGTGCTATTAATTGAACTCTAGCCCTCTGTAAGAGCAGCCAGTGCTCTTAACCACTGAGCCATCTCTGTATCCCCCAGGATTACTTAAAAAATATTTCTTTTTATTTTCTACATATGAACGTTTTCCTGCATGCATGCATGTGCATCATGTTCATGCCTATTGCTTGAGGAGGCCAGAAGGTGGCACTGGACTCCCTGGAACCAGAGTTACAGAAGGTTGTGAGTCACTATGTGGGTGCTGGGAACCAAACCCAGGTCCTCTGCCAAGAGTGGCCAGTGCTCTTCTCTAGCTCCTCAGATTTACTTTTTAAAGAGTGATGTACATAAAAAATGTCTCACATTTTTTTTTTTAGCAGAAGAAATCTATATATAGGCAAAGTACAAAAGTTCCTTGCCAGTTGCAGTGGCCCATGCCTGTAATCTCAGCACCTGGGATGCTGAAGCAGGAGAATCAGAAATTCAAGGTCATCCTCAGCTACATATTTAGTTTGAAACCAGCCTGAGCTATGTGAGACCCTATTTCAACAAAACTAAGCAACAACAACAAAAACCGGACAAAACCCAAAAGAAAACAAAACACACTCGCACACAAAGAGGTTCTAAGATGTATAAGCTAAGGTTCTGTAAGGGGCTCCTATGTGATGGATGGTGGCTTTAGAACAGCATGGTGCTTCGCTCTTGCCTGCCTCATTCACTTTAAGATTTGAATGCTTTTGCTCAAGTGGATGCTCCCCCTCCCCTCTTTTTTGACACAAGGGCTTACCATGTAGCCTAGGCTGTCCCTGACTCCTGTCTCAGCCCCTTGATTGAGTGGGACTACAAGAGTGGGCCACCATGCTGGTCTAAACCTGGACTTTTTGCCTTGGGATGGTTTCCCTTTAAGGGAACTCTGAGGATAGGTTTATAACAACGAAGTCTCTTTGTTAGGGAGTGTGTATTTTCCTCCACTAACCACATGTCATTTACAAGCAGCACAGTGTCACCATGGTAACAGTTCCTCAATCATCCTCCACACTCACCCTACCTGCTTGGCGTTTCCTCGTTCCCTGCTTTGTACAACTCTACTCCTGATTGAACTGTTTCCTGGCATGTTCTTGTCTTCAAGGAAGTCTTCATCCTAAGAAAAAAAAGCATAGAGTACAAAAATTGTGTCAGAGCCCACACACAAATGTGCTTCAGTGAAGATGTCCAGAGGGCTGTGAGGAACAAGACAAGCCAAGGCCAGGTTCCCATGAGGCACATGACTCAAGGAAGCGCCCGGTGAATCTTAGAAGGAAACATATGATGTTTTGCTTTATTTTGTTCTGATAGGAAAGATCCAGGCATTGTACACTGAGGGATGAGAGCAGCTGCCCTTCTTCAGCTCCATGGCACACTAAGAAGCAGAGCTGGTACGTGGGGCAGCATTTTGTTGCATCACACATGGTTTGAAACTTACAGTGAACCACAGTGTAGCAAACTAGGGTTAGAGAATTTTTACTCTTACATGTTGGAGTTGAGAATCATTAAACTGTGCTAGACGTACAGAGGTCTCAGTAGTCATGAGCAAAAGAAAAGGAAGAAAATACCTTTGTTTTTTGTTTTTAAGTCAGGGTGCCACTGTGTAGCCCAGACTGGCCTAGAACTTGATCCTCCCACTTCTCCATGACAGGGATTGCTAGCATGCACTGCCATCAGGCCACCTTTGAAGCTGTCTGGATTTTACTCAGCTCGGCTACCTTGATGGAACAAAAACTGTTCTGATATTTTGAGAGGTGTCTAATCTTCCCCCATTTCCTTCCAACTTGGTTTTTTCTAGGAAAAGGAAACCAATAAGTGGTACAGGAAAAGCTCCCTCTGTTGTTTTTAAGGCTGTGAAGGTGTCTGGGAAAAAGGATTATGTATGTCTTTATTTTAAACTTTAGATCACTGGATGGTTCCAAGAATCTGGGAACTATCACAATGCCTACATATTCCATTTTCTATTTACTGAAACACAAAACCACATCAACCTACATAAAACTTGACAGTCTGTTGCCTACCTCTCTTTCGTATCCCAGACGTTTGTCTTTATAAAAGTTGGCTCCTTGTACATTTGTGGATAGTAAAAACCATTTGTTGAATTAATGAACTATGGTGATTTTAATGTTGCACTACTATAATGATATTGTGTTTGTGGGTATTTGGGATAAAATATGCTATTGTTAGAGCAGCAGCAAAGATCCATTAAGGGAAACTCTTTCTGGTCAAGAGAATAGATTCTCTGGCCTGGAAGGGGTGGAGAGGTGGGGGAACCTAACCTTACAGCAGGGCAGGTCAATCATGGGCTACAGGACCACCCCTCAGGAAGGCATGACCACTAAAAAGACAGAGAAATGGTTATCCATTTAACATTAATGTGCTTTTCCTTCCCAGAGTTCCCCGCCCCTAGGGCAGCTTCTTAAATCTGAAAATTTGGAAGAGCCTAACTTCCTTTTCTTCTTCCTCTGTTTTTTTTTTTTTTTTTTTTTGAGGTAGGGTCTCCCTGTAGCTCCAGCTGGCCTGGAACTCACTATGTAGACCAGGCTGGCCTTGAACTCACAGAGATCCGCCTGCCTCTGCCTCCCCAGTGCTGGGACTAAAGGCGCGGGCCACCACGCCCGGCATCTTCTTCCTCTGTTGTAAGCAGGCTCTCTCATACTTTGGGTGCCACTTTCTCCCCTTTCTGCCTTGTGGCTGCTTGTCCTCTGTGTGGCTGTCCTCCATGCCTAACTCAAAAGCAAGACCTTCTCACTTCCTCTTCTCTTTCCTCCAGACGGCCGCCGAGATGTACAGCTTGCTGCTTTGAGACTTTTCTCTTATTACGTTAATAAAACAGTCCTCAAGCTTCCTTGAGTCCATTCTTAATTCTTTAATGAGACTACGAATCCCAAGAGAGGACACCAATTTCCGGGAAACTTGGCAACTCTGGTAGGATTCCTCTAAATTTCTGGCAAAGGTATGGAAGGAAAAATCCCGAGCCGTATTGTGTGGGACGTGGACAAGCACTGCTAGGTGCTGAAGTGCGTGGGTCGCAGTTTCCTATTTTGATGGATGCTTAATGTTCCTTAACAGATTTAAAACAAACCCAAGTCCCAGTTGCTAGAGGACAGGGTCCGAAACTGCAGGTGTGGCTAGCATTAGGTCCCTAGGGACATGAGTGACACCAGCGGGCTGCGTCTAAGCCTCAGCTGCCCCTCCAGACAAGCTTCTCCTTTCTTGCCTTTCCAGAACCTTCGGATCTGACTTTAAGAAGCTTCCGCTTTCTCTTTCTCTTTTTTAAGTTTCCGTCTCTTGCTGCTGATGGTTCCTGCCACCTACTGGCGGCATCTGAATCCTTCAGGACTATGCAGGGTACTGTGACAGTGAACATGGACTGCGCATGTGCGTGTGTTTGGGGGCCGGCGTGGGTGCTGCTTTTAATCCCGACGGGCACCCTCAAATAAGCTTTTCGCTGTGTACTGTGATTGGGTTGTCCAACAGCGTCATACGTTGGTCTTTGCATTTTCAGGAAGAAAAATGCCTCTCCCTCCACGATTTAAAACTTAAGTAATGGGGGTGGAAATTGGTGTTCAGAAAATGACCAGTTTTTCTGTTTTTTTTTCAAATGGCAATAGTGGGTCAATAATTGGGGGTTATAATTATTTTTTAGCTCATTGTTTCTTTCCATTTAGTAATTCAGGTTACTAACATCGCTGTACCCTAACACCTACAAGCATGCCGGCTCTCCTCGTGAAACCTCCCGCAGTACTGGATGGAGACGTTTTAGGAATCTGCACTCGTGCTTCTAAACAATGTGCAGTGTGACCCACTTGAGTTCCCTGGCCTGTTGGTCAGCTAGTCCAGTCGGCCAGTGAGCTCCTGGTGCAGTGAGAGACCAGCTCAGAAACAAAGTGGGGACCTGGAGAGAACTGAGGAAGACACTGACATTACCTACTGGCTTCTATGTGTGCCCGCCCATGTGAACACACACACACACACAGAGAGAGAGAGAGAGAGAGAGAGAGAGAGAGAGAGAGAGAGAGAGAGCGTGAGTGAGAGAGTGTGAGTGTTTATTTGTTTATCTCTTTTTCTTTGTTTGTTTTGTGAGAGAGAGAGAGAATCCTTTTGTCTACATCGTCTGGCATGTTTCTGTTTTCTTGGATTTCTTTCTAGGATTGGAGTACATGGAATCTCAGCGTAGTTTGAACTTGTAGTTCCTGGTGGCTAATGAGGCCGAGCATTTTTCTGTTTATTGGCCACCTGTACTTCATCTTCCAGAAACTTGCTCATCTCATTAGCTCATTGTTTGGATTGGATTTGATTTCCTGCTATTTTGTTTTTTGAGCTCTTTGCATTTTCTAGGTATTAATCCTCTTGCAAAGATTTCCTCCCAGTCTGTAGGCTCTTTTCACTCTCCACCATACCTGAGTTATGGACTAACCTAGGTGTTCATCAACAGAGGCATGGATAAAGAAAATGTGTTTTATGTACACAATCATTTTTCCAACTGTTAAGAAGAATGAAGTTCTGCTGTTTGTAGGAAGATGGGTACGACCGGAGATAATCATATTAAGCAAATTAAGTCAAGTCTCAGAAAGATTCATACTGCATGCTCTCTGTCATTTGTGGGTCCTAGCTTTTGCATAGCTACATAAAATCATGTATGTAAAGATGCTGTGAAAGTAGAAACAGAACTGTCCAGGGGATCAAAGGATGGGACAGGGAAGGGAGAGAGAGGAGGAAGTAGAGCATGAGGGGGATGCTCAAGGTACACTATAAACTTGCATGAACGTGGCCTTATGTAACCGAGGATGGTAAAAGAAAAAGAAAATCAAAATAATTGTATGAGCCTAGCTGTATCCATTAAGTCTACAGCCTTCACAGAGCCCAGTGACCAGGGCAGTTTGCTGTTTCTCCATTTCCTTCAGAAACAGAACTTTGAGGGGCTGGAGAGATGACTCAGCAGGGAAAAATACTTGCTGTTAACTGAGGACTGGGTTACAGTCCCAGCACCCACATCAGACAGCTCACAACTGCCTGTAACTACAGTTCTAGGGGGTCTGATGCCCTTTTTCTGGACTCTGACGGTACCTGCACGTATGTGGTGCACAGAGAGACAAGCAGGCACACACACACATAATAAAAATTAAAAATTTAAAAAAGGCCTGTTCACCATGGAAGAAGCCAGAGCGGTCAGCATCCCTATTCCCTATTGGCAATTTGGGTAACCCCTTCAGAGGATGGTGTGATAAGAATAGGAGGTAGGAATTGGCTAGGCAGTCAGGGTAAAAAGACCCCAAAGAAAAGTAGCCAGTTTCTTGCCTAAAAGTCAAAATGGCAACACACTCTGTTCCAAAGACCAAAAATGTCAAAAGTATCTAGGAGCTTGTATCTAATCCCTAAAAGATTTTAGGGTTACCTCTTCAGAGGGGAGAACGTTAGAGTACCCAAAAGCTCCATAAAAATAAATAAGTGAAAGAAGAAAAAATGAAATACGTAACTATAAATCTGAAAAAAACATGCACAAGACCTATATGAAGAATACTATAACTTGATTAAAGAAATCAGGAAACAAAGCAAATGCAGGGCTCTGCAATGCTCATAATCAGAAGACTCAATGTTAAGGTGCCAATTTTCCCTCATCTTGGCATATAAATTTAAGGGTAACCTCAATATTCCTGAAAAGTGATTTATAAACACAGATATGCTAACAATTATTTAGAAATACAAAAGACCTAGAATAACCAATGAAATATGGAAGAACACTGATCATATAGGACTCACTCTACCCAGTTTCAATACTTAGGTAATCAAGACACTGTGGTATTGCCAAAAGGCAGACATATAGACCATGGAACATAATGAGTTTGGTCATGGACCCAAACAAATATAATCAATTGTTTTTGTTAAAAGAACAAAGACAATTTGGCGGAGAAAGATAATCTTATCCAAAAATGGCACTGGAATATTTTTGTTATTTATATAAAAAGAAAAATTATAGACATAGCCTTTACACATTTAACTCAAATGGACCACAGATCTAAATTCAGAATTGTTAATCTTCTAGGAAAACATCCATATGGTCTTGGGCTTGACGATGAGTCTTTACATTCAACACTGGAAGAGCAGTCCGTAAAA